GAACCGTGTCCACCTTGCAAGGTAGACACGGTTTCAAAATTGTTCATAATTATGAATATATAGTTCAAAAATTATGAACATATGGTTCTATAATTATGAATATAGTGTTGTGAACATAATTATGAACTTATAGTTATGTAATTATGAATATAGAGATTCAATAATTGTGAATATGAAGTTCAAAAATTATGAATATATAATTTTATAATTATGAACATATAGTTCAATAATTATGAACATAGAGTTTTGTAATTGTGAATATAGAGTTCAATAATTATGAATATGAAGTTCAGAGATTATGAATATATAGTTTTATAATTATTAACATATAGTTCAGTAATTATGAAAATAGAATTGTGTCCACCTTGCAATGTGGACACGATTTCACAGCATAACTATTTATAAATAGTCAATGAAAATTAAAAATGAAACGAAAATATTAGGTAAAAATATCATTGCATTTATATTCTAATTGACTAATTGACTAAAAATAAAAAAGAAATATTGACTGAAAATGAATCTAATATTACTAATTGACTGAAATTATAAGAGGAAATGAATATTAATAATTGACTGCAAATAAAAAATGATCCATAATTGACTAAAAAAAATGGTCAGATCATTGCATTTTAATTAAAAATGGAATGAAAATTAAAAATTGGAGGGAAATATTTCAATAATAATATTCTACATTATCAATAATAAATGCATATTTTAAAAAATAGTAAAAGTAAATTAAAAATAGAACGGAAATATTTCAATAATAATATCTACATTATCAATTAAAAATGGAACGAAAATTATGTAAAAATATCACTGCATTTGATATTTTAATTGACTAATTGACTGAAAATATAAAAGGATAACTAATTGAGATTCTACCATTATATATTTTCATCCAAGTAACCTGTCATGTTGGATTGAAGGTGTTAGCTCTAGATGAAGATGAACAAGATTGTGTTGCCACTACCAATGTCGTCTAGAAAGAGGTTTCAATAATGTGTAAATATAATCGGTGATATTAAGTTTTTTTTTTTTTTTAAATGAAAAAATTGTTATATATCTAGACAAAAAAAATATCTTCCATACAAATGAATAAGGATAGCAATTCATTTCTAGAACTGAGCTGTTAGAGTACGAGCACATTTGCCTAATTTATGAAAATACTAAAAAATGATAAATAAAATCTTTAAAGTTATAGCACCGCATGCGTACATCTAGACATTAGCTATTAATTTGAGCAATTATTTGCACAAATTCAAGAAATGATATCATCAAAATATATAAACGATCTAAACCATATCTTTAATTGCACTATATAATATTTGATGTTCTAATTTAAATAATTATATATAAATTCATATATTCTTAACAAATTCATTCTGTGCATCGCACGGGTGCAAATACTAGTATTATAAAATAGTGTAATACAATTCCTATTCTAATCTATACTATATATAAAAACAAAATCCTGAACTTTAACTTTCCGCCCAATTCCTAAAAAATCTCTCTTTCTAATAAAATATATTGTTGTCTACTTTCATATCCGTACTATAATTGTAGGATAAAATTTCTATTCTAATATTATAAAATAGTGTAATACAATTCCTATTCTAATATATATCTATACTTCTATACTATATATAAAAACAAAATCCTGAACTTTAACTCCCCGCCTAATTCCTAAAAAATCTCTCTTTCTAATAAAAATATATTACTTTCTACTTTCCTATTCGTACTATAATTCTAGGTTAAAATTCATATTCTAATAGTATAAAATAGTGTAATACAATTCCTATTCTAATATTATAAAATAGTGTAATACAATTCATATTCTAATCTATACTATATATAAAAATAAAATCATGAACTTTAACTTTCCGCCCAATTTCTACAAAATCTCTCTTTCTAATAAAATATACCGTTTTCTACCTTCCAATTCGTACTATAATTCTAGGTTAAAATTTCTATTCTAATATTATAAAATAGTGTAATACAATTCATATTCCTATTTTAACCACGGGCCCCCCTTTGTATATGATGTGGGATCATTTTGATCCTACATTGAAAATGTTTAGAAAGAGGAACTCTGAACAATGCTCCTCTTCCAAACATAATTGCTTGCCCATCAACGTGGGCAAGTATTGAAAAGCCAAAAAGGCTCTTATTTAAGAAGGCTTAACTTAATGGCTTCTAATTTTAGTTTTTCTTTTAAGAAAACATTTTACAAACAATGATAAATACTAAACAATGATAAATAAAAAATCTTCAAAGTTATAGCACCACATGTGTACATCTAGACATTAGCTATTGATTTGAGTAATTATTTGCACAAATTCAAGCATTAATAACATCAAAATACATAAACGATCCAAATCATATCTTTAATTGCACTATATAATATTTGATGTTCTAATTTAAATAATTATATATCGATTCAAATATTCTTAATATATAACAAATCCATTCCGTGCATCGCACGGGTGAAAATAATAATAATAATAATAATAATAATAATAATAATAATAATAATAATAATAATAATAATAATAATAATAATAGTTGTTTTAAAAAATAAAAATAAAAATAATAGTAATTTAATAAAAGAGATAATTTTTTTTAAAAAAAATAAAAAAATAAAATATATGGGGAGCCAAACGTTCGACTCCTATAAAAGGAGCCTTAAAGCTCCAATTTAAAATAAGCTTGCCCATATAAAACTAGTTATTATAATAAAATTCGTTTTCTTTAATGTTGTCCCAAAGTGTTTAATTAAATAAAATAGGAAGCATATTAATAAAGTGTTAGAGTAAAATTAAATGTTTTGTTTCCACATGTTTAATTTCATAAATAAAATAAAATAAACATTGATAAACAAATGTTATAGTAGAGGGAATAAAACTTTAAAATTTTATATAAATTACTAATGGTTCGTACCAAATTGATTAATTAATTGTGAAAACATTGCAGTTAGTTGCACTTAAAAAAAAAAAAAAAAAAAAAAAAAAAAAACTAATTTGGCACTTTATATATTACACTAAATCTATCATTCTCCTGCATGATTCCTTTTGTGGTTTGGTTCTTCCATCCTCATCATACATTGGTGTTTTGAACATTAGTTAGTTGCTTCACAATTTGTAGAAACATTCTAAAAAATGCCCTCAAATATAACGGTAGAAAATATGTACTTTTTAATAATTAATTTTTCATGGATTATTATAATCTATTTCATATGAAATATTAGAGAAAACCAAAATACGAAAGATATTTGTGTTAATGTGTTATTAGTAGGGGTGTAAACGAATCGAATCGAGTCAAATATCTCAGTATTCGATTCGAATTCGATTATATATTCGAATATTCGTATTCGTATTCGTTTAATATTCGAATATCAAATTTTATTCGTATTCGATTCGACCAGCTTATTCGAATATATTCGATTCGACTCGAATATTCGAATTCGAAATGCCTAACTTAATTTTTTACAAAAATTCTTTAATAAATTAAGATAAAATGTAATAAAAATTTATATTTATATAGCATAAAATATTCGAATACTATTCGAATATATTCGAATCGAATACACTCTAATTCGTATTCATATTTGAGAAATATTCGAATCGAAAAAAGTATTCGGATTCGGATTCGTATTCGAAATATTCGAATTCGAATCACGAATCGAATTTTTTTTATTTGATTTGTTTACACCCCTAGTTATTAACAGTAATAGCTTAGTTGGTTAGAGCGAGCTTTCTTTTAATACTAAAATTCTAATTGGTTTAAGATTAACTTAGGGTTTTCCAATCATACTGAAATTGTTAAACATAATAACTAGCTAATACTATATAAACCCTTGTTAGATCGGAGATAACTTTATTCATCATTCTTCAAGCTATTTAGATCATTCTTCAAGCTGTTTAGATATAATAATTAATCATATTTTTCAAGGTTGCTACATTGATCTGGTTTAATTTCAGAAATATGGACTTTATTTCAATTCTATTCATGTTTATAGGTATCATTATAGCTTTTCAATTTATGGTGGTTATCCTTTACTGCTTCCACTTCTCTCCTGCCGATGATTATAATGATGATATGAATGGATTCAATTTATGGAGGTTATCCTTTCCTGCTTCTTCCACTTCTCTTCTGCCGAGAATGATGATGATGATGATTATAATGATGATAGTGATGATGGTGATGATGATGATGATGACAGCGGCGATGAGTAAGTCCACGATATTGTTTCTAATTCTTATTAGTTAGAAGTTATTAGATTTGTACTAATTATATTAATAGATAGATTTTATTATTACATTTGTTTCATAATTGTAGTTGTTATTTTTTATAATTCTATTCTTAGAAGTAATTAATGAGTTATCCTAGATTTGTTTTATGAATATTTATTGGAGTTGAATTTGAATAATTTGATTGCAAAATACTTATTACTATATGTTTGATCAAATTTAAAAACATAGCTGATATTTATTTTGTATGTTTTGTTATGGTGCTCATATCAGCTTCCATATTTAATTTGATGCCTTTAAAAAAAGTAAATGGAATTAATGGAGTGATTCAGACGTGATCAGATAAGGATGCATGTTATATGTAGCTATCAAAAAAGTTAGCAATCTTTCCGGGTTGGAATATATAGTGGGAAATAAGGGTTATGTGAAAAGTTGGAACTGAGGGATTGATTTCTGAAAATTTAATGTTCGAGATTAACTTTTCGGATGAGAAATTAACTCTTTAGATGGTTAAATTGTTCGGAATGAAAAATAACTCTTCGGATATTGTTAAGGTTCCAATCATAAGATTTAAGATTGCTTCATACTCAAAGTAAAGGATTGAACTAATGATAATTTTTAAATAATATATCAAATATTAAAATTTTAATATATTACAAATAAAATTTTAAGAATTAAATATTCAATTACTAAAAATAAACATTAATTAGACTAAAAATGAGGGTAAAATGAATAAATGGTTGTTCAGGCGAGCAGTCCTCCCTGTATTATGTATTCTCCGATCTTCTACGCAGCTCTTCAGTATCCACGGCTTCAACCTTCTACCGCATAACCCACATTCAAATTTCAGCAACCATTCAAGCAAACTTCAAGGAGAAAGCCGCCGGACCACTCCGTCTTCGCGGAATCCCAGCCACACCGCCGCTGGATCGCGGCGGCCTTCGCCGTGTATTTGTCTCAGTCAGCAGCTCCCTCGACCGCTGTCCACTCCGACTAGTCGTAAATCCTACGACAGCAGCTTGCAGCTCCTCAGGTTCGAACCTTTACCCTACTTCAGTAAATCCCTAAATTTTGTATCAAATTTTATTATTAAATTTGTCAAAAATGGATTTGTGAGGTTTATTTAGAACATATAAATATATAATTGTCAAATTGTGATCATAAATTCTAAATTGGTGAATTGGCTAATTGTGAAGTGTTAATGCTTATTTGTAAATTATAAATGGTGTATTGTGATTGTGAATTATAAATTATGAATTGATACAAACTGTATTTATTGTTCAGTTATATGGGAAAATATTTTTTGTTTGCTATTATTTTAAAGTTACTATCTTATTTTTGGAACATTATCAAACATTACCACTTAAATAAGCTCTTGTCAGTCTCCTAATTAAATGTATTTATTGTTTAGTCTCCTAAATAAGCTCTTGTGTTTTCAAAAAATAAGCTCTTGTCAAACCGCCTTAATCCTAATTTAAAAAATTTTAAAAATCATAATTAATTAGTACTCAGTAGTTCAGACCTGTAATTAGTACTCAGTATTTCAGACCTGTGACTTTGTCTTCAATCTCTATCATCTTCCCCTCTGAGCGTAATTGTGAGCAATTGTTTACCTTTCGCATCAGCAGTAGCTAGAAAGTCCATATCATTCTAATTCTATCTTTGATAGTTTAGGTTGAAGTTTCATCTAACACCTAAAAAGCATTATTTTGTATTCTAGATTTCTAGCTGTCAAGTTTAGTTAGCAATTACTCCGTAATAGTATTTATCTCATTCTTCAGAAGTTTTCTTGATAAATTTCTATTCATTTTGATATGCTCTCAATGTTTAGGCATTGCCTCCAGCTGTTATGCTCCAGTAAAGTAACCATGTATCGGGGTATGGTAATAGCAAATCATCCAAATGTATGTGTTTCCTTGATCTCCAAATGTGAGAAGTTATTTATAAATGCCCATTCCCATTACTCAAGTACATGCCATTTTCAGCGGCAATTACACAATTCGTCAAAATCTGTAACGCTTTTGGCGAAAGAATGTTTTAATGCATCTATGATAAACTTTATTCCAGTTTCTTTCTATTCTTCTGATGCAATCCGACGCCTGAGGGCCCCCCCAACAAGGTCTCTGAGAAGGAGGATGCGCAAAAGAGCTTTGGCTGCTGCCAAACCTGTTCTTGATGAATCCCGGGTTCAAAGGGCAATATCTCAACTTCCACCTAGATTTACCCCTGAGGAGCTGTTCAATGTCATGAATGTAGAAGAAGATCCTTTGGTGTGTTTAGAATTGTTCAACTGGGCATCAACTCAACATAGGTTCAGGCATGATGCCTCAACGTTCCACATAACCATACAGAGGCTTGGTGCAGTGAAAATGTATCAGGAGATGGATGTTGTTGTCAATCAAGTGCTTGCTGTTCCCTCTATTGGTTCTGAGGCACTTTACAATACTATGATATACTACTTCACAGAAGCTAGGAAGTTGACTAGAGCTGTAAATATATTTAAGCATATGCAGAACAGTAAGAAATTGGATTGCAGGCCGTCAATAAGAACTTACAATATTCTTTTTGCTGCACTTTTGAGTAACGGAAAGAATTCTTATATAAGTCACCTGTATATGGAGACCACTCGTAGCCTATTTAAACAGATGATTAATGATGGGGTTGAACCAGATATCTTTTCCTTGAATTCTATGATAAAAGGATATGTTCTTTCACTTCATGTGAATGATGCTCTGAGGATATTTCACCAGATGGGTGTTGTCTATAAGTGCCATCCAAACTCTTTTTCCTATGATTATCTGATCCATGGATTGTGTGCACAAGGTAGAACAAAGAATGCGACAGAACTCTGTGATGAAATGAAAAGGAAAGGATTCATTCCCAGTAGCAAATCTTACAACTCACTGGTGAACGCTTTAGCTTTGGGTGGAGAGGTAGAAAATGCAGTAAAATTATTGCGGGAGATGAATGACAATCAACGATCAGTTGACTTCATTACGTACAAGACAGTGGCTGATGAAATATGCCGGCAACAGAGTGTACATAATGCTATGAGTTTTTTGAAGGAGTTGCATGACAAGGATCTTATCGATGGCCATACTTATAAGAAGCTTTCATATGAACTTGAAGACAATTATCCCAATTCCCAAGATAAGCGTGGGCGTGGCAAATTGTTATAGGTATTGTACCCAAAGTGACTGTTAGTTTTCTTTAGCAGGAACACCACTGGGTTGAAATACGTTATGACACAGTTGAGAAATTGTGAGTAAGATATAACATATATTGATGTATAACAGATAACTGATGATTTTGTTGATAATCCTCTGGTAGCAGTGGTAATGATTCCGTTCTTCAGCCAATTATGCCAACTAAGCCACTAGGTTCATCCGTAGACTCATTAGAAAATCACTTACACATCTCAAATGGTGTTTGAACTGAAGATTGGATTTCATTAGGCTTGGTGGGTTGCGGTTCAAAGTGGTCCTGCAACTCGTAATGGGTGGAAAACAGGCTATCGTTTGCAATCTAATGATGGTGGCTTGGATTCATTGGCTAGCCTGGTATGTCTCTTCATTGCCTTTGTTGTGTTTGAGTTCTCATACCCGTTTAGATATGCATTTTATGGTGCGCTATGTTATGGACCGGGATATTAGGATCGCGTCACTGGCTTAGGAACTTATGAACACAAATGAATTGAAGCGTTTCTGGAGTGCTTCTTCTCCCCCATCTTTCCTTAATAGAAAGCCTAAATTCTGAATTTTCAAAAAGTCCCCCCCTTCTTCAATTACATAGGTAGGTATTTATACATAATAACATAAAACAACCCACTAACCCACTACCTTAAGTGCCTGTAACTACCTAAGAAGGTGGCTATCCCACTACTATAATAATAATAATAATAACAATAATAATAACAATAATAATAATAATAATAATAATAATAATAATAATAATAACAACACTATGGTTGTAACATTTCCCCGCCCATCAAAAATCACCTTGTCCTCAAGGTGATGGAACATAGTCTATTATTAGAACCCAAAAGTGTTGTATTCGGACTAGCCAAAATCAGTCACGTGATGCTCAAATGGACCACCTGGTTGTCCAGCTGGGTTGGGCCCAATATTCCCTTCAGCCTCATCAATAACCACACAAAATAAATGTGCACAAGAATGGCCGGGAGTCCAGCGCTCATCACAAGTAAAACATAGACCCTTGGAGCGTCGATGTTGGTACTCAGATCGCGAGAGGCGCCGTTCAGTGGGGAAGGAAGAGGACCCGCGTGGACCGCCGGCGGAGGAGGCCGACGATGGAGCCGGCCTAGGGTTCGCGACGCGGAAGCTGTTCGCGGAGGTCGCTGCAGAGATCGCCGGTGCCGACTGTCCAGGTTGCAACGAAGTCGTACCTGCGAAGGACGAGAATGCCGGACTCAGTCGCGGACAGTGTTCGGGTACGGAGAGCTGGCGGCGAGAGTAAGATCTGGTGAGGTTGATGGCGACATCCAGGTTCGGCGGACGCTGATTTTCAACATCGATGCGTAGCCAGTCGTCCAATCCCGCAGTGTAGAGGTCGACGACTTGGTCATGGCGAATCATCGTCGTACGAAGCAGCGCCGTCTGGAAGTCATCATCGTAGTCTGCGATGGGGCGGCCTCCCTGGTTCTGTTTGGCGAGACAACCCAACGCATTACCTCGGAGGCCAGGTCCGAAGCGCAGGTAACAACGTTATTTGAACTGAAGCCAGGTAAGTTCCGGTTATTCCATCTCTAGCCGGAAATGCCATAGTTGCGCCACCCCGGTCAGGTGGAAGGCCGCCAGGCTGACAAAATCGCTGGCGGGAGTGCCCTGTACCCGGAAAAACTGCTCACACTGGTGAAGCCAGCCGGAGGGGTCCTCTCGCCCGTCGAAACGGGGAAACTCCAGCCTGGTAAATTTGGGGGCAATGGTGGTGGCAGCAGGGTGGCGGTGGTGGTGCCTCCTCCGCCGAAGGAGGAGAGGGCGCGTTGTGGCTGCTGGAAGCAGCCTCTTTTCCGGCCAAGAACTGCCGGAACATAGCTCGGAGTTCGTCCTGATCAGCCTTCATAGCCTCCTGATCAACCCTCATAGCCTCGACCGTGGTCTGGAGGTTCTGAATGGCATCTGCCAGTGTATGATCGCCCATGACGTTGGTTCTGATACTAAATGTTATGGACCGAGATATTAGGATCGTGTCACAGGCTTAGGAACTTAAGAACACAAATGAATTGAAGCGTTTCTGGAGTGCTTCTTCTCCCCAATCTTTCCTTAATAGAAAGCCTAAATTCTGAATTTCCAAAAAGTCCCCCCCTTCTTCAATTACATAGGTAGGTATTTATACATAATAACATAAAACAACCCACTAACCCACTACCTTAAGTGCCTGTAACTACCTAAGAAGGTGGCTATCCCACTACTATAATAATAATAATAATAATAATAATAACAACAACAACAACAACAACAACAACAACAACAACAACAACAACAACAATAATAATAATAATAATAATAATAATAATAATAATAATAATAATAATAATAATAATAATAATAATAACAACAACACTATGGTTGTAACACGCTACTTATTAATTAACTATTTTTTAAACTACTTAGTTGTATGTTATTTTTTTACTGTTGTGGTAGGACTATATATATGGTATCAGCAATTTCCAGAGTTCTGATTTAGCTTTTGTTCTATGCCTACCCATATTTATTATTCTTTAGATTATTTTAAATTACTCTTACTGAGGTGAAATACTTCATTAAGCTATGTGGTGTTTGGATGTGATCTTGCAGGACACATCAAAATCTGAATTTTGATAGTGGTAAAAATTTTCTATCTTTTTTAGTACTATAAAATCTGAGTTTCATAGTATCAAGTAGTAGTATTATGAGCCTTGTGTAACGGGCCTAGAGTGAGCGTCCGTCTGGCATCCCGGGGCCCCTCTCACCCTGCGAACGCAAATTATGCCGTGGAATCGTGTTCACCGAGAATGGTGAACACAAGTCAAAACGACGTCGTTTTTAGGCAAAAAAAAAATAAATCGCGGATGTGGAGTTAACGGCGCGTTACTGATCAAATTATGAATTTTCTGTTATGAGATTATGAATTTTATGAAAATTCATAATCTCATAACAGAAAATTCATAATCGCATAACAGAAAATTCATAATCTCACAACTGAAAATTCATAATCTCATAACAGAAAATTCATAATCTTATAACAGAAAATTCATAATCTCATGGTTCCAAAGTGAATGTGTAGGCATGGTTCCAAAGTGAATGTGCAGACATAGATTCATAATTTATGAATGTCCGTGATTTCGGACGGGAATATGTAGGCATGGTTCCAAAGTGAATGTGCATGCATGAATTCATAATTTATGAATGTCCGAAACTCCGAAATTATGAATGTAATGAAAATTCATAATCTCATAACAGAAAATTCATAATCGCATAACAGAAAATTTATAATCTCATAACAGAAAATTCATAATCTCATAACAGAAAATTCATAATCTCATGGTTCCAAAGTGAATGTGTAGGCATGGTTTCAAAGTGAATGTGTAGGCAGTCACGTAATTAATTAAAAAAAAAAAAAAAAAAAAAAAAAGATAACGGTGCACTAACACCGTTGGAACCGTGTTCACCATGAATGGTGAACACGGTTCCATGGCATAACGTCTGCCCTGCGAACTAGCCTTACCCCTCATACATGCCAAAGTGGTTTCACCCTGTCATGGGCTCATCAAGGGAACGACAATAGCTCCCGACCAGTTGTGCCCTTCAAATCACCTCGGTCCCCTTCATAGTCAAGTCCAAGATTAGCTCAAGCTCCCCGAACTTAACCGGATCGACATGCCTAACTCAGCAAGACCTTAGCATATAAGGCAGAACAACCCTTGACGCTATTGTCGCTCCCTACCCATTTTATGACAAGCTAGCCAAATGGCCTGTTCATTCATTGGGTCTAACACGGTCACGCAAACAGTGCGTGACACTTGGCTCAGATAGCTCTACAAACAAACATTATTCACATGTGTGATATGTAAGGTAATGAACATATACACATAAAAGAAGATGAGCATTATAATGATAAACAATCATCACCCTTGTATTTTTCAAAAACATGATGTGCATTCATGTAGGGGCCGAGCATGCATGCTCGGTGACTTGAAGTTCATCATTCATGATATAACTAGCGAATATATATATAATGTCTGAAACAATAAAATTTTATCTGTGTTTCAGTGGGAACTGATACAGCGTATTGTTCATCATTCATGATATAACTAGCGAATATATATATAATCTATACTATATATAATAACAAAATCCTGAAATTTTAACTTCCCGCCCAATTCCTAAAAAATCTCTCTTCCTAATAAAATATATTGATTTCTACTTTCTTATTCGTACAATAATTCTTCGTTAAAATTCTATTCTAATATTATAAAATCGTGTAATACAATCTATATACTATATATAATAACAAAATCTTGAAATTTTAACTTCACGCTCAATTTTTAAAATATCTCTCTTCCTAATAAAATATATTGATTTCTACTTTCCCATTCGAACAATAATTCTGCCTGAAAATCCTATTCTAATATTATAAAATCGTGTAATACAATCTATACTATATATAATAACAAAATCCTGAAATTTTAACTTCCTGCCCAATTCATAAAAAATCTCTCTTCCTAATAAAATATATTGATTTCTACTTTCCCATTCGTACAATAATTCTGCATTAAAATTCTATTCTAATATTATAAAATCGTGTAATACAATCTATACTATATATAATAACAAAATCATGAAATTTTAACTTCCCCGCCCAATTCCTAAAAAATCTCTCTTCCTAATAAAATATATTGATTTCTACTTTCTCATTCGTACAATAATTCTGCCTGAAAATTCTATTCTAATATTATAAAATCGTGTAATACAATCTATCTATATATCTCTACTATATATAATAACAAAATCCTGAAATTTTAACTTCCCGCCGAATTCCTAAAAAATCTCTCTTCCTAATAAAATAGATTGATTTCTACTGTCCCATTCGTACAATAATTCTGCCTGAAAATTCTATTCTAATATTATAAAATAGTGTAATACAATCTATCTATCTATACTATATATAATAACAAAAGAGTTAATAACCAAAATGGTCCCTTGACTATAGCGAAATTACCAATTTGGTCCTTGACTATCATTTTTACCCAATTATGTCCTCAACTATGAAAATCTTACTCAATTTAGTCCTCCGTTAATTTATCTGTTTGTTGACCCTCAAAATTGAGGGCAAAACTGTAATTCTACAAACTTTCTTCCTCCTTCCCCTTTAGCAGTGTCAAACTATGTAGTACCTCCGGCCACATCGGCGAATGCTATCTTCTCTCTACACAGAAATTACTAATTTTTTGAACAACAAGAAGGGCATCATCACAGACAAATCCAATCATCAAACTTTATTTTTAGTCAGATAATTTGTGTTGGGAGGCAGGAGCACACCAAGGCTGCGTTGAGAGCATTTAGCGCATCGGAACCGCTGAAAATTTCAATTAGTGCTGCATTTTATATTTCCCTTAGTTTCAT